CAGCAAGTAGAGATACCGTTTCTTATTTTCATATCACATTAGTTTGAGCGTTTTTTTTTACTTTTGTGACAGGAAATCAATGGCTAGGGTCATTCGTACTACGCAGTATAGCATTTACCACATTAATTGTCATCTATAAAATGTCCGACATAGCTGTTTCTTATTCTGGATGCAATCAATTATTCAGGAAGTTTCAAGCAATTTCAGAGTAGAAATCAACAATTTTTTCTCCTAATGTTAGGATATGAACCGAATCTGTATCACAAGTTCTCAGCATAGACAGCGCTGGGCAAGGAAATCTATAAAAATGCATAAAAATGATCAAACTGCTGGAACTGATATGCAAGAATCCGTGTATTGTGAGTGGGCTCACAACAAAACTTGGCACCACAAATAATGGATTGGAACCAAGAGGCAGTGTTTATCANTGTAGAGCAGCTTAAGCTGAATCGATCGAAGTTTCACAGGCGTTGAGGAAACTGTTGTATCTTCGTCTGTCAACTGAGCGCATTATTCGGCCAGGTCGACTACACGCTCAGGTGTATGTGGGACTAAGGATCATTCCACTGAGTTGCTCAGTTTTATTTTCAGTGAAAAAGTGTACGTCGTTTGACGATACAAAAGTGATATGCGAATATATTTGATTGATCAACGCGCTCGACACATCTTTGTAACTGCTGCAAACAGTTGAATAGTCCCGGTGAGCTAAGGCAGCGATAAGGATGATGAAACAAAGCAGGTGGACTTTTTACTCGTGATTACACAGATTTTTTCACTTATTTCACCACATATATCGTGAGGAAAGAATATTGACTTTTTGCTTTTAAATGACCAAGACAACAGTAAAAATTACTGACATTCTGAAACGTTACTTCATCTCGTAAGGCTATATCAGCCAATATTGTGACTTCACTTTAAAAAAATTAGGTGAAACAATCCGATAAATGGTGTACGACGAAAGTCAGAAAGGTTGACGTGGAACTGGAGATTGAAATGTGAGCATATTCAGTGGATACGACTTCACTTACCAAGAAGCCACCTTCTCGACAATATTTGTATAAGAACCAGATAGGAATCAGGACGACTGGGGCACAGGCGATCAAATTGCCCAGACCCAACGCCCATCGAGGATAACGATATTTCTCCAAAGTGAATTCTTCTCCAGCAATAAAGAGGAACAGGAGTAAGGCCATGCTGATAAGTGGCGTGACGAACATCCAGCACAGACGCCAATACCAGTTTGGACGCTCGTTTATCATGAGCGCGATATCACGGAGGAATTGGCGCATCCCTGATGATGACAATTAGATAGATAGATAGATAGATAGATAGATAGATAGATAGATAGATAGATAGATGGCAATCATGATGGTGCCATATATGGTGCCATTGGTGCATGATACGGAGAGTGAGAGAAATAAGAGTAAAGGAAATTCGAGCATATAGAGTATGTAGATCAACACAAATAATTTTTGGCATTCAGTTGCAAATAGTTTATAAGCTGATAAAATGAATGACCTTATTTGCTAACAAGCTGAACTCCAAAGCTCCTTAGACCAGTTAGAACAACAACAAAAATAGCAAATGTAATTTAAAGCTGTCATCCTGTATCTCTTTACTAAATTTCGACACTAGGGACCTGATGGAAAATTCCTCGTGCCTTATTTTTGAGTGACCTGGCTACGAAAATATGGGAACGGTCAGAAACATTCGTCAAAGTATTTTACTGTCCCGTAAACAAAAACAACACATCAAGCACAAATTCCACGTTGACCGTGACTTCCGTTTGTCATTCAGCTTACCGTATACATATCCAATGACCAAAGTTTCGGCAACTGCAATAATCAGAAGCGGATAACCGGAAAGATAGTTATCAACCAGATAAAATAAGTAATATCCGCCCCCACAAAGCATGGGTAAGCCCAACAGGAAGTTGATCGTACAAATTACACATCTGAAGAGAAAAAATAAGGAATAGAGTGGTTAAGAGCGTTTGATTAAACAGCGTTAATCTAATCTATCGTCATTATGAATAAATTCTGCAACTGTTGATGTTGATATCCAATGAGGCAACAAACATACTGAAAATAGCCTGGGGAAGAACCGAAAATCACAGAACTGTCACCACCTTTATTTTTACCAATAACTAGTTTAATATTTCTCACTCCAAAGTGCGTCTGTACACATTATTTGTGAACTGCGCATTGTAGGATTACTAGGTGTTCATGAATTTCACTTCGGAGAACTTCATATGCCACTAGCTTTAGGGGTGAAGGAACAGAAAATGATGGTAATATTCTTCCACTTGGTTGTGCGCATTCCACAGATCTACAGCTTGTGAAATGGAGAACATGGAGATAAACATTTAAGAATAGAGGTTAGCTACGTCTAGGTGTGATATCATTTTGAGTGACTGTTCTCAGTTCACTTCAGTCGGCCAGACCGCCAGCTTAATCCCTAGTACTCTGATCTTTCTGACTGTCGGTCCTAATCCAGTACCCTATCTCGTCGCATGCTACCTACTCTTCTACTACTACTCTTCTGCGAGGAAAGCACTCGCTGCGCAATTCTATCACAAGGATCGAATTTATGGCCCTTGCCGTTGTTCATGGAACCGGTGCGAACGTCTGGGTGCCTGTTATTTCAGGCCTAAACGAATAACCACTGATCGTCATATCTTTTAGTAGCTCTACTTGTAGTTATGACGGCAAAAGCTCAATTGCATTCTAGTTTCGGTAGTGCACAGATGAAGGGAACAAGGAAGAAAATCCGGAAAAGTGACACATACCGGAAGAATATGGCTTTCATATTGGTGAACACATAACCCAAACGACGTAGTTCGTCTTGTAAACCGGATATGACTGCCTCAAGGATTGAAAACTGAGAACCGAATCCAAGCGTGCACATCATGAAGAAGAATAGCACAGACCAAAGTGAGGGTAACGGCATATTTGTGATTGCTTCCGGATAAACAACAAACGCCAGACCCGGACCTGTATGAAAAGATGAGAGGGGGGGGGAGGGTTAAAAAGTCAAATCAGTGGTACATATCTGCCTAAGTTTCAACCTCGATAAGGAGTACTTCAGGGCTCTCAAAATTTAATAACAGTAATGAACAAAAATTTCGACGCAATATACCACCAGGAACCAAACCGAATTCAAACTATTATTGCAAAAATAAGTACTACAAAACTAACCCGATCTAGCCACAGCATCAACCGTCGTGTTCTTCGAATATGCCATAAAACCCAGATTGGCAAAGATGACAAAGCCGGCATAGACGGAGGAGGCACAATTTATAACAGCTACAATTACCGCATCGCTGAAAAGTAAAGAGAGGGGTAGGGAACAAAATACAAACGGCTCGCTAAAGAAGTGGAGACGACTAAGAACCACGGCATTTAGTATAAGCAGTATATCGAATGTCTGCACTGCAAAAAGGATGAACAAGATGTTCGACTGCTTAAGAGTGGACGTTTTGTCACAGTAAAACTAAGGGGTGATAATGATAAACATCAGTTCTATAAATTTCTTTTACTATCAAGCTCATTATACCATCGACAAACAGTTGTAATAGCAATATAAGGAATACGGGGTTGATTTAAGCCCACCTAGAAGAGCACCGGAGTGCGGTAAAAGCAGACCAATCACCGCTGACAGTTATTGAACAAGGCCATCCCGCTTCGGTTGAACAACCCCTCTGTTTGTAGGTTTCAAAAGTATCAGTCACAGTATTATGTGCCATGACTAACTATGAACACTCGAAGAATGTAACAACTGAGGCAAAGGAGTGTTAAATTGTTTATGCATTGATTTAATCGAAAACACAGCTGACTTTTGCAGAATTATTGGAGCTCGGTCGCATAACTTTTTATACTACACGTACATACATGCATACGCGAACCCAAAAGTTATATAAATTATTCATCTACTTCACGGAGTCATACTATTTTTGACTCATAAGAGTGCACTACACGATGCATGGGAACCTAAACTAGTGGATGACACTTATATACGCGAAATTATTCACAAACTATGGTATACCATACTCTTTCATCGTTGGAATCCACCAGTCATGTTAACCCATCTGTGATAAATGCTATTTGTTAATCTGAGGTAGGGTATAATCACTATAGCCGACACTTCTGATTCTCATACCTCCACCGAAATGTGTTTTCATGAGTTTCAATCACAGATTATAAGGAAGTCACCATAGCATTTGAACTGACTTTATCAGCTTCGTACGTGGTCAATTAACTTGAGGAAGTGATTTATTGTTTGTTAAATAGTTACTCAATGTAAAATCACGGTCACTCCCGTATGCGCATTTTTATCGTTAGGGCTGCTTGATCAAATCGAGACAAATGTAGGTCGGGTTAGCACTAGGCTCGTACTCTGATCCCGAAATATAAATTTGGGCGAGTGTATAACACTCAACAAGTTTGGTCAAATATCCCAGTTTTTCGCTCCCTATGTAAAATACATCTAAAAAACATATCTCCAAAGAACAACAATAAAGCTGTCCTAATTCATATGCGCAGCAACTGTGAAGAAAAAGGAAGTAAAGACTGATCCTTTGTCTGGTATAGTGATACCACTGGAACAAACTGGAAGACAAACCACAAAAAGAACACAAAATATTTATGTTGAGAGTGGATATCTGTTTTCATTGACGAATTTTATGCAGCTGTTTTTACCATGGCGAGCTTCGTTCATTGACAATCTTCTCTGTTACATAAAATTGTGCAGTGAACAAAAGTTGGGGTAATCCCGTAATCAAGTGGGACTTACTGTTAACTCATGGAAACCAGTAATCTAAGCCCCGGAACTTGAAGCGGCAAATCCAGGTAAGGTCACCTTTGGTAAGGGATAGCTTTCTTTCATAAACTATTCTTAACAGAAACGGTGCCAATACAATTGTCTTATATACTGATGAGATATAAAATTCCTTATAATCGTCTACCGTCCAAATCTCTCTTTTCTCTGAAGATAATCATCACGTTTTTTGAAAACTCTCAATCACAAAATTAGCAGCCCATAATGTGAATAATAACCTAAAAACTTGGATAACATTTTAACTTCAAAATAAAGGAACTCATCCCGCCCACGAATTGGACTATGTCGTGCATTTTTTCAAGGAGTTCAAGGAGAGTACTAAAGGCATGATGAACTCTCGAACCACATCATCTGGGATAAAATCAGTCTCTATGAGACAAATTTTAGATACTTTCGCGAGCCTTATTAGTATTGAGACAATAAACCTGCACACTAAGTTTCATCATTCTAAGTGGATATGTTAAAAACCTTTTGTGCACTATAAATAGACTACTGATGAGTAGCCAGGATATATGTGTGATAAAACCAAATATTTCACGGTAGTTATCTCACTGACCATATAAAATATAGATGAATCTAGGGTAGATGAGCCGCGACCATTTACTTCGGTCGCCAGCCCGTCCGTCTGATCCAGTCGATGCGAAAGCATCAAATTATTGATGTTCAAGGTTGGAAAAACATTTAAAGAAACAATTCTGGCCTAAAACCGGGATAAACGTTCGCTCCGTCCTGTAGTAACGTTCGATCTGCACCTGAAAATAAAAGGCTGCAAAATTGAGACCGCGGCTTTTTAACTCCGTACAATGTTTTGCAATCTAGATCGTGACAAAGTCAGTTTTAACAAGCAATAAAAAAATAAAACGAGAGCATGTTGATTCACAGTCGCACATATGAACAGGAACCAAGCGATGATTATTTTACGTTTGAGTTTAACCACGGTATTAAACACCTGGAAACAGACTGCGTGCTGACATGATGAAGAAAAAGCCCATTATCAATCAATCAATCAATCAACCAACCAACCAATCAATCAATCAATCAAACGTTTATCTATTCATCTATCTATCTATCTTTCTATCTACAGTACTGGCCGATTGTGATGCACTAAAATATTTTCTTTATGATCAAATGGAGTTACATTATATTTATCACCTGTAATAATGCTTTAGGTATGGACAATAATTTATATCTTGTCTGCTTCGATCTACATAGTTTCTGTTCTGCATAAGTGTCAATTAAACATGCCTGACTTTGAGTGCCAAGATTAAACGATCTGAACACGAACCACAAACTTTATCAAGTATGACAACGCAATATTTTCTAATACGAATAATTCAAGAATTATCCCAAATTATTGCCATAAACCCTTGCCATCTCGGTTGTTTGTTATGAGGCATGATTTTATCTAATATATAATACATTATAGCAACTCTATTGGATAACGAAATGAAATTCTTTCACAACCCAGAGAAATTGCGTTAAATAAGGTTCCATAATAATAATCTATATTTGATATCCAGCTAATTGAACTCGAGAAATACCACTTCAATCAAAATCAACCTTGAAATCAAGATCATTTTGTGCACAGCTTTGATTGTTCGTATTGGTGTCACTAAAGTGAAGCAAGCAGCGCTCAAAACCAAAGTTTTTCGCTATCTCAGTAAAGAGGACAGAAATAGAATTGCACGAGCACATAGGCTGGGACTTTCCATATCACATCTTGCTCAATGCTTTAATGTTAACAAAAGCACAATTTACAGGATAATCCACGAAAAACAACAACCAGAACAGTTTGTGGAGGCCGTAAATCGAGTACATCCACACAGGAGGACAACCTAATTGGTACTACTCTGAAAAACATTGCAGAAAATCGCTGCCGTCTACTCAACGGGAACATCTTCCTCGGCATTCATACTCCCTTCTGCAAAGGAGAATGAAAAAATTCGGCAAACGTCAAGCCAGTATTGAACGCGTAGCAAAGGCTGGCTCGTATTGACTTTGCCTGAGAATGTAAATCTAGGCGTGTGTTAATTTGGCGATCGGTTTATTTCGCCGACGAGTGCGACGAGCCTTCGAAGACCCACAAAAAGTCATTTGTGGTGAGTATTTCCCAAAGGGACTTAGTGCATCAAATGAAAGAGTTCCTCACCCGTCAAGATTGCTCATCTGGGCAGGGATAAAGCATGGTCATGGCTTGTCGGTGGACATCAGTCAAAAACACTATGAATAGTGGGAAATTTGTATCAGTAATTTCGAAAAGGTTCCCAGAATTTCATGAAAAAATATCGTCTGGAAAAGTTATCGTTTTTTTGGGATAACGCTCTATGTCATGTTTCACGAGAATTTAGTAAATTTATTAATTTAGTCAGTCTGGTTCTCTTATTGTTTGCTTTTAGACTTCAGAAACGGTGCGNCAGTAATTTCGAAAAGGTTCCCAGAATTTCATGAAAAAATATCGTCTGGAAAAGTTATCGTTTTTTAGGATAACGCTCCATGTCATGTTTCACGAGAATTTAGTAAATTTATTAGTTTAGTCAGTCTGGTTCTCTTATTGTTTGCTTTTAGACTTCAGAAACGGTGCGTGACTCTAAGGTCCTGTTCATGCAACTTCCCCCTAAGGGCCCGAATCTCAGTGACATGGAAAATCCGTTTTGTATTTTGAAGAGACAGGTCAATGTGCTACCAATACGTTGGACATTGGAGGCAAAAGTGCGACACGTAATGGAGAACACAATAGAAAATGATTCCATGCCGAAGAGACTCGAAAAAGTCCTCAAGAACAAAGGCAAAACAATCGACTGTTAATGTACATAAACCTCTCATCTTAATTATTATCAATGTTAATTTGTTGTAAATGAAAAGTGTTCCATTCTCTTCAGTTATCTATTAACTTCTCATGGTCTAGGTCAACCGCTACTGATAAAACGGGATTATCCGCTACATCCTGAAAAATTCTAACTGCGAAGTATAAACGAATAATGAAAATCGTATCTATAAAGTCTCACCGAGGTTGTTTATTATTATTTGGAAAAAAAATTTACTTCAGTATAAATGCTGTGGCCTATACGAACCGACAAGTGTCTCACAGGGACCCGTTACTTCAGTTTCGATTAGACCTGTATATCAAGGTATACATATGAGATCTTTCAGTGCTACATGTCACGATTGATTATCCTCCTGCTTCTCTTGTGCGCTTGGTGAAAGTTTTCCAAGCAGGTATAACCTGAATTGCGAATGTATAAAAACAGGTTTTGGTAGAGAATTTCATACTCTATTTCTCATCTGTTCATCATCGGAATTAACTTGAGTCGGGGAACGGTTCCCAAACATGATAAGGGCTTTTTTGGATCAAAATGTCAATGACAATCAGACACAGTTATATTNTATATTCAATTTTTAAAAGGTATGATCACTAAACTGACAGTTTCAAACAATGTTTTTATTTGCCGGATAATTTAGGAGCATTATCATAATCAGATAGATTTAGATGAAACATGAATATTCCCGGAATATACCAGCGACACACATTGAATGAAAAATGCAATTTAGGGAAAAAGGTTTTTTTCGGTGACTCATCAACTGGCTAATACGTCAAATTTTATATCACATCATTTTGTATAAAGAAGAGGAAACAAAATTAATTATTATTCAAATGGGGATTGTTGTTATTGTTTTCTGTCTCAATTTCACAAAACCGGATAAGGCTGATCCTGCCATCAAAACTTAAGTTTAGTCCGTGTTAATTGTGTGATTTGGAGTGGGATTGGGTGGAGGAGGAAGAGGTGGGGTAGGATGAGGATGGAAGGTGGAGGGTCATGGTAGGTGGAGTGACTTCACAAACTGTTTTTGGGCGCACCGGGGGGAATGAATAAGAGCACAATCAAAGGACAACCTCATCCGATTAACTCGCTACTCCGAATAGTGATCTGTTTGCTGTTTGATGGAAATCAGATGATTACCTGTTGCTTAAATATATTCAAATTCAAATCATAAAATAAAAGCTAGGGGAAAATCTCCCACTGAGGGAAGGAATGAAGAACGTGAGAACAAGAGCAGGGCCACATGGAAATAGTGAGAGGAGTTTCGCATTTGTTCATATGCTTATCTGTCTTATGAATCGTCACTCAGTTATCCCCGTCAATAGAGATAAAATGCGCATTTGCAATAAGGAAATAAATTAAATAAACCGACCAGTACTTACCGACAACAGTTGTTTTTGAATTTATTAAAACTGGACATGGCGATAAGGCCACCGTTGCAACAGCTAAGCGAGAAAAATATCTGAGTCGCCGCTTCCACCCAGACTCTTGGATCGAGTAATCGGGAGAACTCCGGATAGAGATAGTATATGATTCCATTCAACGAGCCAGGTAATAGGGCGCTTCGAATCATCAGAATTGTGAGCAGCAAATAGGGAAACATACTGGTAAAGTAGGATACCTATATGGAAGATAGGGATAGAAATTTCATTTGAAATTCAAAAGGTTTTAAAGGTTTTAAAGCTGCATAAATTAAGTTTTCTGTATAGTGATGCCGAAAGACAAGACGAAATGAGATCAAATATTCACTCCTGACGTGTTTCACCAGATGATTTAAGTGAGTGTCATATTTGGATGAAAGAAATCTATGACATTCGGTTTTATCGAACTTTCGATACATTGATCGGATGAATCAAGTGAAAATAAGCAGAACATCAAATGCGGTATTGTCAACTGTGAATGGGCACCCATATGGTAAAATAATTCTCGTCGGGTATATTAACTTTGAGTTCTAGGATGACAAGAAAAAAATTCAATAATTCATCGTGAGTTTCGATTCTGATTATCTATCAATGTTTTGGAACAGAACAATCCTATTTACCACATACAATGAAAAAGTAAAATAAGTGGTATCTAATTATCAAAAGAGCGGTTTCATGCAAACAGTCCGACAGGCATGTGAAAACAATCGTTTTATTTTCTTGTCTAAGGTAACAGACAATTACCAGTTTAATTCAGACAAACCGTACACCGTCCGCACAAATTCACTTCAGAGAGCAGGACATCTAATTAACTGTATTTCTTTTGTTGCAGCTGGTTTCAGCGCTTACAAAACCAATAGGCGCTCGAAATGCAAATTTGAAATTACATTCTTTAAATAGATCTGGCCATTTGATCACACGATAAGCCAGCTAACTCAAAGTATCATAGGGTACAGCCCACTTCGGCTGCAGGATGGTAAGATAGGTGCAGTAAAGAGCACAGTAATTGGCGATCTAGCTGATACATGAGGTGGAGTGACTATCGCATACACGTTTCAGAACATCTATAATGTGCGGTCTCATCTCTTCAAAGTACCTCGCCCTCGCACAATAGCCGCTAAAACAGGGGTACGCATCTAATTTTGCACACCGGATCTGTGATTGTAAAATCAGCTATCTCTCGCATCACAGTAGCCTTGGCCGCGAACTAAACACACAAACATCAAGAACAGAAGCGGGGTAACAGGGATTTCCAGCAAAATGCATCTGCCACACCGCATCCATATTACCACTCCCAGTTAGATACAAGTGATCGTAGATCGCATGGAAAACCAGTCATGTAACCACATCAAAATATTGCTTACCTCGACCGTGTTAGAAGCAAATTCTCAAAACTTATATTGTTACTCTTTTCCCCGTCCGGTGTTGTCATTATAGAATTTCCATGAAGACATCAAAAGATTTTATCCGATGCCGTCCATCAAATTGCGTTCCACTTAGAACCATCTCTACGTACAAAAATTTACAAAAAATCAACACATACTTTCTGCTCGATGCTCACTAGGCCTCTTTCCTTCGTCAGACTCCTCAGATATGGGCGTGTACACATCTGACTGTTCAGCATAGGATCTTTTGTACAAGCATGGAGTTTAATTGACGTCGGGAACTCTGATGATGATTTACCGTTTTTTGTGTTGTCTATTCCCGCAATGTTTTTGTGGTCAGCGCTTTATGCACGTACTATTCACTTATTGAAAAAGTTTGACGAACACCTTTTGTAAGCCAATAAGTAAGATAATTAAAGAAAATGCGGTTGGTTAAGTTTTTGTCCAATACTTAAAATTATGCGTTAAGCTGAATACTCATAACTTCATATCTTGCAAGTGTCAGAAAAAAAAGGTTTTTGAAGGACACAAAGAAAGCGCGAGAAAGTAGTAGGGGAATAATATGAAAACATAGACCAGGTACTGAGATGACTCAAGTTTATCTTGATTGGTTCCTGCCTCCGGGTTACATGTTTGATTATGGACCACTACACTTGCCATTTAAGAGAACAAAGTAAAAATACTTTTTCCTAGCGTCAAATGCAACCATAAGCTAGCTGATACGGAAAAATTGACGAATAATGAACCATTTGAAGTAAAGCTAATGTGTTCAAATCAGAAACTATTTTTTTCTTCACTTTAATGTTGCATAAGTTCAGGCTGAATTATTACAGGTATCGAATGAACCTGTGCGACATCCTTACTTTCTCCAGATCTCTTGCTCCCAATGCCTAGTGTTTTAAGGTTTGGTCATGCGAATGAATATGATATCACCCGGAATATTCTCGATATTGGCTCATTGCAGCTTTTATCAGCTAACACCGAATGCAATCAACTTACTCTGATATGGTCGGTTTGCTACCTATACACTGCTGTTTTACCGAATAGGTTCCCTGTAAATTGAGCTTTTTTTACATCGCAGAACCTGCAAAAGTAAGGGAATCCGAGACCAGATTTGTACATCACTCTGGTACGGTGCTTCTCTGTTTCATTTGCGCACCGGAAAATCTTGATGGTTTGATCCGGTTTCCTCAGGGTGACATCACAGAACGTTTACCCAACGAGCCACACACCAAGGTGTAATTCATAAGGTCAATTTTCACGTTTCTCTTGATATCTTTCACTCCCTTCATGTTGAGAGGTTTTACGTAAGCAGTGTTTTAGACACGTTTTTCAATTTGATGAAGCTAAGAAGGAATCACTTATAGTTTTGTCATATGTGATCCACGGGGAAAATTATATGCTGTTTAGAATACTTGGATTCAACTAAATAAACACCTTCAAACAATGGTAATCTTCGCGGTGCTCTGCAACAAATATTTTTCAGTTTTAAGTAGCAACATTGGAGCTACTACAAACTTCATCTTGACGCGCTAGGTCATGTGAATTCAAATAGTGAAATAAAAAAATTGCCGGGGGATATAAAGCTAGGAATAAATGCTCTCAACCGATGACTGTCGATATGAATTTAGGATATTGGAAAGTGAAGCATATTTTTAAATTGAGGGTCATTTTACACAAGTTCGATCAAAACCTGTGTGGCAGGGAAAAGTTGACAGCTCTGAGGTCAACGTGAGAACAATACCCACCCACTTGAAGAGAAAATTCCGCAAAAATAAAATGCTACATCCTCGATTGTTCACTGACTGTGCCGCAGACATCAAACGAAGTCTTAGGCTGATGATAAATGACAAGCTTCTAGTGATATATTCCGAAAAGGCGGTGCTGGTCGAGGAGAATTCTTTATTGCAGAATACAGATTGAG